GAGGCCCCTCTTCTCGAGAAGTTGGGCTTCGATTGCCCATCGAAAACCTAAGGAACACCTGAGGCAAACTGTGTAACAATTCAGGGGCACGGAGCCCCTCCCCAACGGGAAGGGTTCCTTCTTCAGCGCCCCGACTGTACCTGAGCAAGATATGGCGACGCACATGATGACGTAAATGATGATATATTGGTTGCTGGTAGTGGTGGAGGAACGGGAGTCGGCCACTTGCCTACTCCTCAAGTGCCTCTTCAACCTGCGCGTGAAACTCAAGAGGACCTCCCGCCCTACGGCCCACAACGGACCTCGTCGAGGCGCTCATGGGCGGGTCCCATGGGTGGGGGGACTTTCCTTGCCGAGAACGCTACGGGCGACACCTCCTACGCCTGGATCATCCACGCATGGCTGACCCGCAAGTCCAAGGGCAAGGAGCTGGTACTCGCGAAGCTCACCAAGGCGGAGAGGTTGCTGTTCGACGCGAGCATGGCGAAGGAGTGGGACAACTGGAAGAACTTCAGGGCAGTCACCGTGGTCACCAGCGATGCGGCGAAGGAGCTGGTCAAGACAGTCAAGCGCATTCCGTCGAGATGGGTACATACCCATAAGAATGAGTACGACCCGAAGCTTCCCATAAAGGCGAAGTCAAGACTAGTGGCGGTCGGTTGCTACGAGTCGGTGCATGTCAGGACGGACTCTCCAACATCTTCCCTGCTGGTCTTCCACTTGATCTGCAGTACGGCGGCGCGCAAGCATTGGCCCCTATTCAAGCTTGACGCGACCAGCGCCTGCCTCAAGAAGATGACGTTGATCGCATGCTGGTACTACGTCCACCTTCACCTCCACCACCTGGAGTCGAAGAGGGATCGCTCTTCATCTGCCATGGCGCGATGTACGGGACCAAGAACGCTGGCAGGAAGTGGTGGAGTAAGCTACAGCGCGTACGCTTCGCGGCAACTCGTGGCAGGAGAGCCACCTGGAGCGTGCACTCTTCCTACTCTTCGAAGACGGGAGACTCGTCGGCTCCATCGTCACCTACGTGGACGACCTGCTCGCGACCAGCAACCCCACGAGCAGGCTGCTCAAGTCCAAGGCCGACGAGCTGAACAAGGCGCTGCTGCTGACGGAGGAGAGGCCGCCCTTCCAGTACTGCGGGAAGGACGTCGAGCAGGAGGCGAACGACGCGATGGAGATCAGCATGGGACACTTCGTGGACGCTACGGAGTACGCTGTGCTCTCGCCTGCCCGCGCGAGGCAGCTCAAGGCGTTGACTGCGGATGACGAGAAGACCTTCGCGGAGTCGGTGATCAGTTCGCTAAGGGTGGCTATCGAGGCAGCTACGCATGGACGTCTCCTTCGGCTACGGTTGGCTGGCCCCATACGAGAGCCAATTGGTCTCGGAGCATCTCCGTGAGATGAATCAGCTGGTGAAATACTGCACGCAAACCCGGGGCGTCTACGTGCACTTCCGGAGCGACATACTACACGGCGATGGAGACACGCGTGCGGTGGTCTTTACCAAGGGCTCCCAGCTTCGCGCTTCGCGCTGCGCTAAGCGCGAAGTGCGAACAGCTTCGCGCTCTCGCGGCGCCTCCCAGGGGAGAAGAGGAGGATGAAGAGGAATTGGAGCCGAACCGCGCAGCGCGGACCGCCAATAACTTCGCGCCCTCGAGGGCGCCCTTGTTTACCGAGAAGAGCTTCAATAACGCGGACGACCTCGACCTAGGACTGCCCGGAAAGAGGGTTAAGGCACAGGCGGGGTGCCTGCTCTCCGACGACGGCTCGTGCAAAAATAAGGAGGGCCCAACTCGCATCCTGGACAGGGGGAGCTCGCGGATCAAGCGTGCGTGCCGTGCCTCCATGGGATCCGAAGCTCATGGACTCACCGAGAATGCGGAAGCGCTGGAGTGGATCCGGACCCTGTACTACGAGATGGAGAAGCCCAACCAGCCGATCGGCGATCTGGTGGATGACGTGGCGACGCTGATCCCAGCGAAGTGGTTCGATGACGCGAACAGCCTGGTGACCCACCTCCTCGCGGATGCGGGGCAGATTGCAGATCGTCGAGTTCGAGTCGTGATCGCAGCGCTTCGAGAGCAACTATCTCAAGATAAAGTGAAGCTGGAGTGGTGCGACACCTCTATGCAACTGGCCGACGCGCTGACGGAGCTAGATGCCGAGAGAGGCTACTTAACGACGGCCATGCGCAGCGGCATCGTGCGCGTAATAATCTCAAAGCAGGCGGCCTCCGCGGAGGAGGCGATGAAGGCAGCGCGGTATCGGCGCGCCAGCGAAAAGAGAGTACAGAGAGACTCGGAGGCCACGAGGATCTACGACGAAGCCCAGAGCTACGTGGCCTCCGATATCGTGAGCGACCTGGACGGTTGGATTCTTTTCGCAGCGGCGGCGGCAGCATCCATAGGCCTGACGGCCCCAGTCTGACTTAATGTAGTTTGGACGATCGAGGACGGGCGCTGAATTGCACTGGCGATCGTGCCCTTTAACCCGAAAGCCTGCCTGCTGCCGTTGCGTTTCTGTTCCGACGCTCTCTTGGTTCAGAGATCGTTAGTGAAGGGGCCCTGGTACACACAAATAAATACACACAAATGACAGGATTCCTAATATTTTACAATATGTTCTGGGTTTTTGTCTTCCCCCCTTCCCATACTTTCCCTTATTTTCCTGGGGGTCGACGATTAATTGTGTCTGTGTGTTTCTTACCCTCCTGAATTAGTCCACGTGCTCAGACCAGAAAGTTGCTGCGACGGCGGCGGCCGTCACTTGATGCCACGACGAGGGGACGAGGAGAAATTTCGGCGGCGAGCCCGGGGGGGAAGTGAGGAAGGGGTGGGCCTTCTCAGGAGGCTCGGAAATCCCCCAACCTTCTGAGAAGTTTTCTGAGGCCTCCCCGAAGACACAGGGAACTTCTCAGAAGGTGCGAGGGCTTCTGAGAAGCCTCGCCGCATTCAGGCCTTTTCCTGCTCACCCCCTCGCTGGCCGCCGAGAGTAGGGTGAGGTGGAGGACGACGACCACGAGAACGACGACAGAGCGCGACGACGAGTGCGTCGCACGGTGTCGCCTTGCCGAGGGCGTCCTGCGGCTCCTGCGGATGGCGCGCGGGGCGCTGGCGTGTGTGTGTGTGTGTGTGTGTGTGTGTGTGTGTGTGTGTGTGTGTTTGTGTGCGACGAGGGGCATGGCGCTCGGCGTGCTCCTTTCTGCTAGCAGGGCCAGGCGGGTGGCGCAATTGACCTCACGGGGATCCACCACCTACGCCACCGCCTGGCAAAGCCTCCGAAACGAAAAAGATCGAGGCCCCACCCCTCCGACGGGGGCCTCTTCGGGAAAGGTGCGCCGGAGAAGGAGGAGGGCGCAGAGGGACGAGGAGGGACGAAGGCACGTGTCCGAGGCAATTATGTACAGGTTTGGCGCTCAGCGGCGTTCCTGCTTTATCACGGGTTGTCTGGGCCACCAGGGCGGTGGACAAGGCTGAACTGTTCTCGCGGCCTTGGGGAGGCTGCTGATGAATGAGGATGGAAGACGAAGCGGAAAAGGGTAAGAAGCAGGAGTGAGAGGAGGAGGAGGAGGAGGAAGAGAAGGAATAAGAGGAACAGGAGCCGGAACAGGAGGGGGGAGAGGAGAAGGGGGAGGGAGCAGTTGAGGAGGAAGATGAGGAGAAGTACAGGGGAGGAGGGAGAGGCGGGAGGAAGGGGAGGGAGAACGAAGACGAGGACGTAGGAGGGGGGGGAGAGGGGGGGTTGAGGGGGAAGTTAACCATACACCCGGGGCAGAATTCATCCCCCACGCTGCTACTACTTACGACATGGCTGAATGGTGCCCAGCCGCGCATTTTCACCCAAAGGGCAGGTGATTCAGAAAGGTATGTAGAAGAAGAAACAATTACATAAACATAAACTTTCGGAGGTCCGCGCGGACTTCTCGGTGCCTTATCCCTGGCGCGCGGAGCGGCCCAGGGCGGCGCCGGAGGCGCCGCCAAGGACCCCCATCGCAGATCCAAGAAATCCGCGCGGACCTCCGAGAGTTCCTGCTCATGCTGGACATTCTTCGACAATAGCACAAAACAAACGGGTGATTCAGGACTGTACCCAGCCATGGGAGTGACGGTAGCGCTACCAGATTTGATCTATCTCGCAGGCTGGTCCATATCACCATCGAGAGGGCACAAGTTCTACGCCCCCGCGCTTCTGCATGTCGAGACTTGCGGCACCGCCCTTCACATCACCCGGATGCCGCTTCGCGAAGCGAGGAGCGTCGTTCGTGAACCTGGCCCCAGCAATTCGTCCAGGAAACATCCCGACAATATGACCCAGTGAGGATAGAAGAGGAAACAACGCCATAAACATAAACTTTCGGCGCCCCGGCGCCGCCAGGGTGGCCCAGCGTGGATCCAAATCTGCGCGGAGCGCCAAAAGCTTATGTGGATTCCGTCTTCTTCGAAAGGAAAAGGACGACGACGATGAGAACGACGAAGCGCAAGAGGTGGATATGCAGGCGAAAGCAACAGCGGCGTCAGCGGATGCCGACGACGACGACGGCGGCGGCGGCGACCACGGCGACCACGGCGACGGCGGCTGCGGCGGCGGCGACGAGGCACACCGACACCGACACCGGCACCGACGCAGACACAGACACAGACGCCGACGACGACGACGACGTCGACGACGACGACAACGACGACGACCGACGCCAGCCGACGCCGGCCGCCGGCCGCCGACGACGGCGGCAGACGACGACGACGACGACGACAACGTCGACGTCGACGACGACGACGTCGACCCACGACCCACGACCTAGTCGGGGCGTTGACCTAGGGAATCCTAAATAAGGAACGAGGCCCATTTTTCCATAAGTTAAACTGCGATTTCCCATGGAAAATATCAGGAAACCCTAAGGCAAACTGTAAAAAACAAATCTAAGCAACACCGCGCCCCTCCCCAACGAAAAGGGTTCCTTCGCCAGCGACCCGACTGTACGACCGACGACCGACGGTGGGCGGCATGGCTCCTCGCCATGCGCCTTCGGCGGGGGCGGCGCCGTGCCAGGCCTGGCCCACGGCGCCACGGGCGGCGGGCCTGGGGCGCGCCGCGCGGCGCGGGGTCGGGGCTCACGCGACGAGGGTCGGCGTTAACGTTAGGTCGGGCACGTCCTCCTACTGGCAGATTTCGGCGGAAAAACAGAAAACATTCAAATAAAATCAAGAATGGTCCCCAAATAATCGGGCATTCGTCCCCAAACCATCTTTTACTAATCTGTCCAAGACGCCTAGACGGCCTCCTGACGGCCCAAGAGGCCTGCGAGACGCCCCAAGAGGCCTCCAGGACCGTTCCCACGAGAGCCCCAAGAGGCACAAATCATGGATTTCCCATACGTTTTTCCAGGATTTTGGCGTTCTCGCCTCTTCCGCTCCCCCACGCGCCAAGACGGCCCAAGAGGCTCCCAAGATCGCCCCGACACGGCCGAAGAGGCCTCCAAGAGGGTCCCCAAAAGGCCCAAAAGTGCCCCAAGACGGCCCAAGACGCCTCCAAGACGGCACAAGAGGCCCCCAAGACGGTTCCAAGAGAGTGCCCAGACGGGGGACCCGAACGGACATTTCGAGCCCTCAGCCCCGAGAAGCCCCCAAGAGGCCCCCAGGAAGCCCAAAGAGGCCCCAAGAGGCTCCCAAGAGGCCCCCAAACATCCTCCAGAGGCCCCCGAGAGCGCTCGGAAGAAACCCCAAGCACCACGTTTGAGGACTCAACCCACGTCAGCATCGTCGTCGTCGCTACCGTCGCCGCCGCCGTCGTCGTTCCCCTTCAGGGTCGGCGGCACCGGCCGTAAGGCCTTCGCAATAATCGGGCAATCGTCCCCAAACCATCTTTTACTATCGTTGAATACTCCTCCTGTAGAAGGACATGCCCGACTTCACGCTAACGGGGGTCAGCCAATCCCCTCAGCATAACCATAATTTTGTGGCGCCCTGCGCGGGTTCTTGGACCTGCGCTGGACCCCGCGCCAAGGGCGGCGCCGGAGGCGCCGCCAGGGGGGGCCCAGCGCGGATCCAAGAAACCCGCGCGGAGCGCCAACAGCTTATGTTTATGGCGTGTTGCTTCTTCGAGTTACCCAGAGGGGGTGGTTGGCCCGGGCAACGAGCTTGTCCGAGAGGTGTCCGTGCCCAGGCCTGCACGAGAACCAGCCGACGTCGACGTGGGGTTCCACGCCCGCCCTCGACCGAAGGGGCGTGGCCACAGCAGCGCAGCGGAGCGAGAACACGAGAGGCCTTGCGCCGCAGCTCCGGAGATCCCCACGGAGGAGGCACCCAGGACGAAGGACGGACTGAGGTTAGGTTGGGTCGGGTATGTCCTCTTACAGGCGGACTTAAAACGAAAGCGTGAAACATCATCAGAACACTAATCAAACATAGCTAAAAATAGTCGACTACTCGTCCCCAGACTCTTTTGTTTTACTATTTATGAATACTCCTCCCGTAGAGGGACATGCCCGACTTCAGACTAAGGTGGATAACGTGGGATATGCCGACCCCTATCTCAGGCCTCGTGGAGTTTTCGAAGGGACTAGAATTTGTTGGCCCAATCCTGGGATATACGATGGGGGGGCGTCCATCCTCGAGAGGGGCGCGTCCGCATAGCTCCCTTGGGGTGTATTCCAGGGTTTCCCTCCTTTTCTGAACGGCTTCATCTTTCGTCGGAAGGTCGGTGGTTGGAGAAGAAAAATCGCCTGCGAGTGGAGGACCCAAACCCGAACTCGCGGGCTCGACGGGGGAAAAATGTCCTAGAATAGAATCTCAAGGGGGGCACTCGAAATAGCTGTATCGAACCGGTTCGCGCGAGCGGTGCGGCCCCAAGGTCCACGATAAAAAATGCCCTGGGCAAATGCCGAACCCGGCAAGGTCCTGGCAACGTCGGATCAGAGACGCAGGGCGCGAACTTCCGACTCCCACGATAGCCAAGAACGCCTCAAGGGAGCTCCAAGGACCTCGAGACGGCCCAGGAGTGCTCCAAGACAACCAAAAATGAGTTCCAAGCCGCTTTAGAGGCCCCGAAAACGGACCAAGAGGGTCGCAATGTGCAAACCGACAGTGATTGGCCGATGACCGTTTACAGATTTCATCGTTCTCGCTTTGCCAATCTTCGGGCAGTACCAGATGCCCCCGGAGGCCCCCTTCTTCTTTCCAAGGTAGGGTCGAGGCTTAGCAGGGTGCGCGTGAAACCGGGTCAACGTGCGAGCGCACGCTTAACTCTGGGGACCTCCCGTGGCGCATCTCGCGCTGACCTTCGCCGCTGCTGCAGCCAAGAGTCTGGCATGCGCCTCCTCGTTCTCCTGCCAGCTCGGGGCCCTGCCTTCCCGGCCCAAGGACTCCGCGAGGCCATCGTGCAAGATGGCCCCAGAGGCCCCAGAACGAGCCCCAGGACGGTACAGGAGGGCTCCAAGACGGCACAAACCCACAAAAAAACAACCAAAGACGCAGCAGAGGGCCCCAAGACGCCAAAAACCAACCAGGGGGCGCGAGGGTCTCTGCGCACTGGCGCGCCACCTGCTGCTCGTGCTGCTGCATTCTCCTCCATCGTCGTCGTCGTCGTCCTGCCCGTCGTCCTCGTCCTCGTCCTCGTCATCCTCCACCTCCTCCTCCTCCTCTTCCTCCTCCTACTCACCTCCTCCCGTCTGGTTTTGCCAGTGGTCCCCATCATATTCCTCCGGTTCCCTCCCTCCCTCCCTCCCTCCCAGCGTTCCTGCTGCTGCTCCTCCTTCACCTCGCGGTCATCGTCTTTCTCCTGTCGTTGGCTGCGTGGCGTGAAGGTCTCTGCGCGCCAACGCGCTGCCGTTAGCTGCTGATAGCATATCTCCTGAAATAATACCAGAGAAATAATCCGACCTGGACAGCTCCGCGGACACGCGCGGGCATTCCCTCCGAGATAGCGGCCGCAAGCGCCCTAAATGGTGGTCGGTGCGCAGGCGAAGGCGCTGTTTATAATCACGGACGTGGCCAGAGCTCGAGCACCTGGTCATCGCCGCCCTTCTTCCTTGGGCGGGAAGCGCATCCACCGCCTCGCGGGAGGTGGGTGGGCCCCGGGCCCAGTGAATGCGGGGCGCTTTGGCTCGCAGCTGCCCCGCACGGGGCGTCCTCATACGACCTCAGCTCCACGGGGTCGCGCCCCCGAAGCCAGACCGCGAATGCGTGGACATGGGCACGGTGGCTGCTCGTGGTCTCCTTTCCCTCTTCCTCCTCCACCTCCTCGACGCAGCTCTGCGGATTGGCTCAGCCCCCAGTACCCGGCATTCGGGGGACGGGTGGAAGCGTAGCGAAAGACACCGGCGACCATGACCAAGACTGAATGCGAATCGCCGACGTCGCTTTTAATCCGCCGACCCCTCTGGGGTCTCTAGGCGTGTGACACACTTCCCCCCCTTAATCCCCCCCCAACCAGGTCCAAAGTCGCGCGTTTGAGGGAGAATGGGGTCTGGAGGCCGCTCGCACAGGCGCCCTGTGCAAATGGCCGCCAAAACGGGCCAATCCTGGGTGAGGTCGTGGGACGCCGTTTCGGGACCATTTGCATAGGCGCCCTATGCGAATCGTCGGTTGGACGGGCAAACCTCCCGGACGACCCCGGACGCGCCCATTAGCACAGGGCGCCTATGCAAATGGCCCCGAAGGACCCCCAGCTGAACGCCCGGGGATTCGCGCCGATTTGCATGGGCGCCCCGTGCAAACGGCCGCCGCAACGGGCCAACCCCTGGCGAGCTTTTGGAGCCCAGTGCCGCAGCCGCCTGCATACTTGGAGGGGTGGGCCCGAGGAGCTCCCAGGAGGCCCCAAGAGGCTTCCAAGAGGCCCCCAAAGAGGCCCCAAGCTCCCAAGAGGCCCCAAGAGGCTCCCAAGAGGTCCAAAACAGGCTCCCAAGAGGCCCCGAAACTGTTCCCAAAAGACCCCCGAGAGCGCCCCGAAGAGACCGGAAGAAGCATCCCCAAGAACTCTGACCCACAACCCAGGCACGGTGGCGGGATGGGTCGAAGGCAATTTGATACTGAATTTTGAACTTCGCAATAGCTACAAGGATGCAAGAGGGGCGTTTTGATGATGGGGCTCTTGCCAGAACGCCGCGCAGTATTGCCGCGAACGAACACACACAAAACTAAATGATAGAAGGCGCGTGATTAAAATAGACCTCTCGCTTTGACGCTGTGAATACTCGTGCCACGCCTTGCGGAAGGCACATGAGTGGACGGTGGCTGGTGGTCGCAAAGGGGACTCTTGCCGAAACGCCGCCCACCATCGCTTCAGAATGCTCCGACGTTCGCGAGGACGGAAGGCAGCTTCTTCTCGAAATCGAGCTGTCGCTCGAGACCTCCTCAACTTTGCGACCACGGGGTCTGAGATCGGGGTCAGGTCGGGCATGGCATTCTTCAGGCGGATCCTGGAGGAAATTCTTAACACAGCCAAACCATATTCCAACATGATCGATCACTCCCGTGGAGGAACATGCCCGACTCAGATGTAACATTTGGGACCTCCGAGATCTGGGATCTCCGAGCCCTGGCGGCCCTGGAGGACGTGGTGTCGGGCGCCGCGGCCGCTCGGGGGCGCTCCAGACGGCGCGCCCTGAGAGCGCTCCGGAGCCTCATGGAACGCACTACAGTCGGACCTCGGCTCAGGTCGGGCATGTCCTCCTCCAGGCGGATTTGGACGGAAAGCTGAACACCTTCAGCTCATTCAAGAATAATTTCAAACATGCACAGAAACATCGTCCACATTTTATCTTTAAACTATTTTGCAGATTCTCCTGTGGAGGGGCATGCCCAGCTGGAACATAAGCTACAAAAAACATCCCTCAAGAACACGAGGCCCTCGGTCGGCCAAAACGCACACTGCAAACAAGGGCACCCTCCCCAGGAGCACAACAATGCCCAGCAAGCACTGTCACTAAGAACGCTTGGGTGCCCTCCCCGAGTCGACCTCGATCTTTGCACCTGGGTCCGACTGTATTCGGGATCTCTGAAAACCGGCGTTTCTGGAGGACG